CATTCCTTCTCCATGAACCACAACCTCATACAGTGGGGTGATGACGTTTTCCACAGTGACCGATAGATTCCGTCCATCGAGCGTGACGATATTCACAGTCGTTGTTCCTCCCAAGGCGTCTGCGAGTGTGACTTTCCGGCTCGTGACGAGATCATTCCCATCTCTCTTGAACAAATCATGAGGTTTCTCATCAATTATGAACACCAAATCGGCTGGAAGTTGGTTCAGTTGCTCGTTCCCTTTATCCGGGAACGTTATCTTTGTCCCCTTCTTCCATCCGGGCTTCACCACAGTTGTCAGAATCTCCGTCTCGTGAGCCTGTCTCCTGCAAATATCACCAGATTCAGACCAGACCGAAAACTTTTAACAAAAAGGGTCTCGAAATCGGCAAAGAGATTACCCATTAGCATCAAAAACTGTTCTTGAGATCTTCATTTTCCTGGTTGATCCAGAATACAGCTCCTCAAGACTACAGGGCAATTTGCTCTCAACCGGTGGAGGTTTCTTGCTGGGCATTGTTCCACCGTCGGTGTGAGCTCTGAATGCTCCGCCTCCGTCTGATTGGGACCTCATGGACCTTCCAGGGCCGAAATCGAAAGGACTACTGCCAAAGAATTCAGCAAATATGTCCTTTGCATTTCTGTGGTTAAACCCATCTTCTCTTCCACCTCCTCTGGTGCTCCCAGGAGGCGGCATATCGCTTAACCCTTCCTCCCCATATCGATCGTACACCGATCTCTTCTGTGGATCACTCAAAACCTGAAGTTTCATTATAAAAAAGAAAGCTTTCTTATCAAGAAACTCCATCCCTGAAGCGTGAACATCAGATTCCAGCTTTTAAAGGGTCAAAACGTCAGAAACTCTTCTCATGTGATCCAGAGATCTGATTTGAATCATATACATGCATTTTGATTTGAATTCAGATGTGCAATTGGGAGAAAGAAGGAGAAGTGAGTGAGGGTGAGGGAGTTTGCCTCGTAAGCCTCAGAGATCTGCTTGAATTTGGATTCAGCTTCATTTTTGAGGGTAGGGTTCTTGTCAGGATGCCATATCATGGCCAATCTCTTGTAGGATCTCTTCAGATCTTCCTCCGTTGCATTCCTATTCACTTTCAATATGTTGTAATAATCCAAACCCATCGACCCAGGATGAGAAAATCTGGAATAGTCTCCGACAGATGAATCGAGAAGAAGAAATCCCTCTGAATGATCCGTAGCCTTTTTTGGATCGAAGGATCTGGCTTCTTGTGAGTAAATATCATGACGGGAATATTACTCAAATAACCCACTTGGGTCGCAGCAATTTCAGTGTACACCACCGAAAAAAAAAAAAAATTTTGCGACCTTATTACGACTAATATATAACTAATATACAACCTATTACGACTAACAAACTACTCTTATTTTAGTTGTATATTAGTTATATATTAGTCGTAACAAGGTCGCAAAATTTTTTTTTTTCTGGGTGGTGTACCCTGAAATTGCTGCGACCCAAGTGGGTTATTAGGGTTAAAACCCCTATCATGACCCCTCTTCACATTTGATTTACATAGAAAGCTGCCGAATTTAAGTCTTTCTTTTTTTTTAGTTCTCTTTACCCTTTAGCATGTAGTAGTTGGGGAAAAACTGAAATCTGGTTTAGGAAAAAAGGAAACAAGAGGAGACATCAGAATTTAGTATTGTTTGAAGCAAACGGCGGTGGTTGGATGCCTCCTCTAATAATAGAGAGAGAGAGAGAGATAGAGAAAGTATATAGGTGGACGTAAATCTAGGGGACGCCTGCCTACAGGCTACAGGCATAAAATAGTACGAATATTCATTGCAACTTTAATCCATTTGGACAGATCAAATCATGAACATGAACACTTTCAAAACTCGTAATAGAATACAGATTGTGGATGTTATCGTATCATAATGGTCGACATGATAACCCTCTTTACTCTCTTTATTCTCAAAAACAATATTTGTGTACTCATTGGACAAGAGATACGTTCACTCACACTCATAGTGACTCTATTACCATGTTTTCTGAAATATATATAAAAAGAAAAGATAGAGAAGAGGCATGAACAATCTCATTCATTCACCACCGAGGAGGAAAAAAGAGAAGAAATCCATCCATACGAGAGAGCTCTGCACAAAAAGGGCTAGCGTACTCCTGTTTCATTGCCCCTTGAAACAAAGGCGTTGTGATAACAAAAGCCCAAAAGGAAAACAACAACATCACTAGTAAATGCAAAACAGCATACCAACACCACTATACAATTTGTTATTTTTTTTATTTTAAAAAAAGCTTTTCTAAGCAGCAACATTATGCTCCATTTTTCCCAGAGAGAAAAAAAGATCTTGATCCCTAGATACCACACCATCATCATCATGGATATTCATCCATTACTGCAGCTTATACGGAAAACTTCACAGAAAGACTAACCGACTCAGGATGAAACGGGATCTTCAGGGGTGCGTACCAGAAGAAGCGGCAGTGGCTTCCGTCGCTGCATTCTTCGGTTTTGGAACCGTCCACGTTGAAGGCCCACTTTCAAAGTCCAGGGTGTCCGGGAGGCTTTCAGGTTCAGAGCTGTACGTCTGTATAAAAGACGGAACAAAGGCAATACTTCATATATTGCAATCACAATGGTAAGCATGATTTTCATTTAATTGACCTACTTGAGATATATGTTGATAAACCCCACTTGAGTTATATAAGGTGCTTTTTACACAAGCAGGGGAACAAAATGCGATAACCTGACCATAGCTTGATGTGTGAGTGAATACGGATACTTGACTGACTGTGAAATGGCTAAAAGAATTTACCTCGAGCTGTGTCAACATGTCCATGGCTGCTTCTATATCGCCATTGTTCGCCAGGTATACATCAGCTATGGACTCGTGTGATAAACCCGGGAATATCATCAGAAGGAACTCCACATCCATGTCCATCTCCAAATCTTCATCCCTCATCTGCTTGTGTGTCATGTCAGAGGATTGCTTTGGCACCGACACTTCAGAGCCTGGGTAACTTTTCACTCCTTGGGCCTCACCATAGTCGCGAGATACGTGGATTTGTTGGCTCTGTGGTGCAATATGCATAGGACGTTGTGTATAGAACAACTCTCCATCACCAGCATAACCCTCTCTCTTGGAGAGTGGTATATATGATGCTGCATATGGATTCAATACTCCCGGCTTCATTGTTTTGACTTGGAAAGCTGAGTGGCTCCCAAATTCCAATTGAAACGATGAAAGAAAGAGAGTTGGTAACTATGTCTACACAGGAAAACCACATAGTAAATCTATGCTAAAACGAATCTAATGAAGGCTGGCAACACATTCATCACGATGATTTCTTCAAACAGTCCATATTAACAGGAAACACAACGAGAAATCTAACTAGCACCAATTTTTGCTTCCAAGTCATTAACCTCCTAACAAACAATTAAACATTACGCATCTAATTTTACCCGTGGAATCAAAAGGTACAGCCGCTTTCTCCAAATTCGAGCCATAACCCTAGGTCTATTGCAGAAACGCATGAGACCACATCAAACTTCCACTTCATTAATCTATTAACCTTCAGATTAACCAGATTTCAACAACTAATCGTAAACGCGGACTACTCTAAGGCAGAGAAACTAAGTTTTACAACCAGAGAACCTAGTTTCCTCCAGGAATATACAGCACAAAATAATCCACACGGAGAAAACGAAAACCGAATGAAGAAAACAGGAAACCGACTCTTAGCTGTTTCATCGACTCGGACACAAATCACGGAATAGCATGAACATATCGATCAAAGAGCACCTAAAGCGGAGAAAAAAATTCATGAAAGAAACGAAAACTCTTCAGAAAACCGTGATCCTAGAAAAACTGATCGCAAACAAAAGATACGAACAACGAACAGTAATCACGACGGTCGCGTCAAGGTTCTTCGGTAAACGAGGCGAACAAACGAAAAAGCATCGAGAGAGAAAATGAGCTTACCAGAAAGAAAAATGAAGAAAACCCTAGCGTTGTAGATCGCACGAGGAAGACGATCAGATTCCAGAGATCTAAATGCGGAAAAAAGGCGGAAAAAAAGCAAGAAGGAAAGAGAAACCGCCTAATCAGGGAGTTATATTGTAAGGCAATCGCAAAGAATGGCCGTTTACATGAAGCTCGCGTCATGGTGGGGCCTGTTTGGAAACGTAATTATCTTATCCTTGACTTGGATGTAGATATTTTTCTTGCATGATGACGTGGCAGATAACAAATGGGTACTTGGATCTGCATGTCAGCAGGCAAGCACTAAAAGGTCAAAAAAAAAAATACCATTAACCCGAAACCGGGGTCGGGTATATGTGAAACCGGAAGGAACTGGACCGAATAAACCGGTGTATGGTTCGGTTAAGGATCCATTCCTTCGAACTGGTTTAAGTTAGTGGATGAGTTGAAGAAGAAGACGAGAAGCTCCGAAACGCCATAGCCATACCAATGGCTCTTCTCTCGCACTCTATCTCCTCTCCAAATTTTTGCCTCTTCAGGTAATTCTCCCTCTCTCTCTATATATATATACACACTCGTTCGTTCGCTGATGTTTTCGTGCATGCGTGTATGTGGAAGTTAATGCTTTGTAATTTCTCTGGATTTTTTAGTTGTCGGAGCCGCATCATTACGAGAATACCGAAAGAACTGGTGATTGCTCGATCTGGTGTTTCCACGAGATCGATTTCGACTGAAGAAAGAATTTCCCGTAGGGATTTGGCGCTTTTCGGTCTCTCTTCTTCGTTGTCTATGCTCGTACCGGCGTCTGGTAATGTTTGTTCCATTTCGCATGTTATCCTGCTCATTCTTTTTCCGAAATTATGCGTTTTACCCGAAATTTTGCAGTTCGGGGTGACGAAAATGTAAAGATTTTACGGATTCTTCATATTTATTCAACTAGTGTTCTGTTTATGTGGATTTATTTTACCCGCAGTGAATGAGCCGTGATTGATGATTGATGGAGTGATTGGTGTAGCATGAAGAATAAAGTGTATGCTACTATGCTTCACTAGTAGAATGTTAGTTATAGAGAGATGGGTCTTGGAATAAATAGAGCATCCTTCAATGTGTTTATGCAATTAACCTTTCCGATTTTTCGGTTTTGATTCAATCTCAGAGCCTGTTATACGTTCATGGATAACCTGTTCAGCTTCATTGAAAGGTTAAGTTGTGGCTTTGCAGTCACTCGTGCAGAAGATGACCTGAAAATTGCCGCATCAGTGGATGAGATTAATGCTTACTCTTATTCATATCCTGTGGAGTGGCCATCTCAAAAATTCGTATTCAAATGGTATATTTCAGTCATGAACCAACCTGACAAAACCTTTCTACATTTGCTATAGTTTTCATCCATCTCACATGACATTGTTTTTTGAAGGATTGAGTCAAGGAAACCCGAGCGGTACTCTTCAGCGGCACCGCTATCTCGTAAGCATCTCTCTTCTTTTGATTCGATGGTTTCAGGATTAAGTTGGGTTGTTGGGGTAACCTTTTGCTGTATGACTCTCCAATTTGCATCTAATTGTGTTTCCCTCGGTACAGCTGATGCACGTCTACGCATTGTTTCTGAACGAGTTGACATCATTGACAACCTCGTAATCTCTGTTTCGGTAACTTCTCAGAGTGACCATTTTACCATAAAACTATTTCTCTTTTGTTGTTATATTCTTGCATCATGCCTTTTTATGGTTCTTGATCCAGGTAGGTCCTCCAAATTCAAGTTTCATAACATCGAAAGAGAAGAAAACATGGACGGCCAAAGAGGTGGCCGATTCTGTGTTGTCTGATAAGTCTGCGCTGGTATTCCATCCGACTTCCTTCCATGTAGAATCTTTTCAACCCAAAACTATTCGTGAAAGGACCTTATAGCCCTTGGAAGGATCAAAATGAGTAAACCTTTTTTTTTTTTTTTTTTTTTTTTTTGCAGCGTGTTACCTCAAGTCAGCGTCTCGAAGAAAGCTCAGTTCTTGATGCTCATACTACCGAGGTAAGCATACTCTCTTCACATCTATGCTTCTGAAGATCTTCCTTTAATGGAGTTCACTTCTGGTCCATGAAATGTCTGAGCACATATGTTGTTTCTGCAGATTGACGGCGAGCCTTATTGGTACTACGAATACTTAGTCCGCAAATCGCCAACTAAAACCGTAAGTTACCTTCTGCCCTCGGCTGGCTGAACCTTCTTATTGGACCAACGGGTTTGAAAATCGGTCTCAGCAATGTTTTTGTTATGTCATCTGGCAGGCCCAAGAACCAAACCTTTACAGGCACTATATTTCTTCAACCGCTGAACGTGATGGTATAACAACCTTCCAAAGAACTATATACATATTTGTGCATTTTATTCACTTGAATAGTGAGGCGAAATCTCTGTATTTGCAGGATACTTGTACACCATAAATGCTTCAACCCTTGGCAAACAATGGGAAAAGGTGCTTGAACATAATTTCCCAACAACGGTCTGAGAATTCGTGTTGTGACTGAAACATCTCATCCAATGGCTTGTGTTGTGTAATGCAGATGGGACCTTTCCTAGAAAGGACTGTGAGTTCATTTCGGCTTCTGCCTCCCACTGATAGCTACGTTCCTCCATACAAGGATCCATGGAGGTTTTGGTGATACGTCATTGTGGCGAGAGTTTTTTGTAATTGGACATTGAAAGAAACCCTCATCCATAATCAAAGGTAACATCATTTGATTCTTGTAAACTTGTTGGTTGGTAGTCATCTAAGTGCTGAAGAAGTGATTCAAAAGGTACTAGCATTTATTAAGTTTACAACCACCATTCTCACCGGCTCTCAGGTTTAATATTCTCGTACATGTGAGTTTTGTTTGTTTTAGTTATTGTTGCAAGGGTTGCCATTTCGGGTTTTGGTTCGAAAACATTGTACCATACCAACCGAATGTTGATCGTTTCGGTATTTATCGGATTTGCTTCAATATTTCTCCTAGCCAATTTGGGAATGATTTATTCGATTCTACAAAAATCTTATGAATTTAAAATTGATGTTATTCGGTACGGTTTGGTTGGGAATTAAATTACCGAAACTGAAACGTTCTCTGGTAACCATTGCTTAGAGACCAAAAATGATGAAAAGGGTTTGCAGTTTTGTTTTGTTTTGTGGGTTGCATTGGGAATACAAGAGTTGGACGCAATGGGAATACTGAAGGATTATTTTTTATATTGCAGAGTCAGAGATATTTTGGGAAAACGTTTTCTTGTGATTCTCATTTATCATAGTTTCTTTAAATACAGATAGAAGAAGATAGAAGAAGAGGAAGAGAAATCCTAACAAACCCTAACCAAACTAAACCAAAGGAATACGTCCCCACAAGAGAGTGATGAACTTTCATCTTGGACAAATACAAACAAAGAATACAAACAGTTTCACATGTGGCTTCATTTATATATTCAAAATCTTCAACTTCAATCTTCCGACATAAAATCTCCATGGTATCAAGAGCTTAAGATCCTTTTCTTTTTATTTTTTTTCGAGTTTCTTCTTCATAATCTTTTGTTTCTATTTTTTTGATTTCTAAATATTTCGTATGATGAAGGTGATGGTCTTGTTTCAGTAGACCTACAGCACCGGTGATTCGTCTTTATTTTTCATCTGCTCTATTTGATCTGCTTCCGCTCCTTTTTTGCTGCATTTCTCTCTTTTTTTTCTATCATTTTCTTTTTATTGTCTTCTTCTTTCATGTTGAAAAAAAAAACTATTTCTATGGGTGTTTGGATTCCCTGAACAAAATGTTTGCCTACCAGATGTTCGTCAAAATTCCTGTGAGAGTTCATGATTTTGATTTTCACCAGGATCTGGGTTTATTCAACACTCTTCTCTCTTTGCTCTTATTTTCTACTGATCTGTATCTTGTCTCTATTCTCTATGTTTTTGTTTAATCTCATCAATTTCTTCTCTCATCTTTCTCCATCACCTTATTGTAGGGTTGAGTACAAGTCCCTAAATCTCTGTTAATGTTTCTCTTCTTCTGTTCTGAACTATGCATCCATATGGGTTCTCTATCTCATCTTCATTTCCTCAACCTTTGGGACATTTTTTTTTTGGACCAAATGAGTCTCTTCGTTAGTTTGGTCACCTCTCTCTAGTTTCTTTCTTTACTCATCGACGGTGCCAGCACCGTCTTAGAGTTAGAGCTTTAATCTCTACTCAAGTTTCGAAAAGGGATCCAAAACGGTTCCTTGCATCAACCCATTTCATAGTCCACCATGGATTTTACCGCGGTGTTCTTCATCAGTTGCTCAAGCTCCATTAACCACAATGCCAGTTACAACTCAATCTTTTACACATTCATCATATTTATATCCGACTTCTCGACTCAATTCTCAACAGTGGACTTCCCCTTCCCCGAGTAGTCAAACTTATCGTCCCCCTTCAATGGTGTTGCCTCCACCGCCGCCTTTACGAGGGAAAGTATTGTATAGGCCCTCTTATTCCATGCCAAGCCTCCCACTTTCAATACCCCTCGGAAATTCGGAGCCTCCCAGGGTTTTCCTGCCTCCACCACCTCCTCCATCTTCGTCATCACTTGTCCCTGATCTTGCGGCTGGAAAAAGTGATGGTGGAAAGCACGTTGGAGAAGCCTCTGCTTTCAGTGGCCAAGTTCCTGATCACAAAGGAAAAAGTTGTTCTAAGGTGGATCCCGCAGTTGGAGATGACAGATCAGCAAAAGGGAGTTCCACTTGTTATGAATATTCAGGAAGCTGAAGTGGGTTCTCCTTTATGCGCGAATTCTGACACAGAGATACGTTTTCTTGCGATTATCATTTATCATAGGCTCCTTAAATACAAATAAACCCAAACCAAACTAAACCAAAGGATATTAAACCAAATCAACATTTAACTACATATATATTCTAATAATTATTACTTCGTGAAATATCGTAATTTTCGTGAAAATATTTGATGGAGCATTTCTATTAATAGTTCAAATATAATGAGTTGTAACTTAATCGTAATTTAAAACGAATTAAAATTTGATGTACGTGAGCCCGCGGACGGTTGCCCAAAGACCCACGTATCGATTTATTATATAGATTTTTTTATATTTCAATTTGAACAATTGTCTCTCTGCCTCAATCATTGATCTGAATTACTTTTCTCACAAGCGAAGCCGATATCTCTATCGAAATCAATCGAAATCCACTTATTTATAATTGTGTCATTGCAGCATCGTCCATGTTAATAGGACAATATTATCATTTACTAATTCAAATTTGGATGGTTGAATCGCTAAAACGAAAACCTAAACCATATGGTTCGTCCTGAATTTGAACTCAATTTCAAATCATTCAGCTAGTTCCTATCCCCGAAATTAGTTTAGACATTAGTTCAAGATACCGATTATTTTTTTAAAAAAATATTATCAGCTACGAACCACGGTAATACGTTTAGTCAAACATATTTACAATTTGTTATACATTTGAATATTTTTATTTGTAAATATTGCCCAAACAATTATGTGGAAAAAAAACTACGATTACATGGATTGTTTGGAACAAGTTTAAAAAATTTGCAAAATGAAATATATTACTTGCAACATTAACACCATTTTTTTTTATGGAAATGAAATGAAATTTGGAAGAAACAAGATATATTGAACCAAAATGATATTGGAATCAAGGAGCTGGATGAAATTTCAACATAAAAAACAAGTGAATTTAATTTAATTTTTTCAATTGAAAGCAAAAGAATTTCAGCCGACAAAGAATCCAAATATATCAAATTATTTTATAATATGCAACGAGATGCAAAAATATTCAATTTTGTACTCGATATGAATCCATCCAAATCAAACCTTTTTCCAACCACAAAAAAAGTCGTATGATAAGTTATGATACGTGTAGACGCAAATACGAAATGAAATTACTAATGTATCAAACAATCATATGAGAGTCAAACGTTTTCATGATAATAAGTAATTACGATTCTAAATATTAAATTGCGATATGCTTCCACGTCAGATCCCTATCGCACCATAAAGGATAAGCATTAAGTTGTTGTTTTTTCTGATATATAATGATATAAACAATGATTTAATATCAATCGGTGCAAAAAAAAAATGGTTTAATACCAATCGACTAAATCAAATATCAGTAACTGTTATTTATTCTCCATATCCATCATATTTAATGTCACCGCCCAAGGTTCTAGCCTCTCGTCAAGGTCCCTCCACGTGTCATATTCTTAGACGTCATAGAATCACCGGTTCAGATTGTACGGATCTTCGAGTGATTTACAGCTGTAATATGATCCATTACTTCCAACTTCGCTTCGAAAATATATTTTCAACCGTTAGATTCTGTTTGTGCGCTATATCCTACGGCTCAAAAAATGGGAGTATGAGTATTAGCAGTGGTTTTGCTCGTACGTGATTACACAATGATTGATTTTTTCGAAGATATTTTTGAAATGCCGTGGCAGTACGTCATCACGGTGTTGATCCATAGAATCATATTTATAAAAGCGTTTCTAATTTAATTTTAAGAAAATAACTGAAAAATTAGATACGAGCGTTAGAGCACCAAATCCACGTGTCTCGTATTTCCCGTTCATATATATATATATATATATATATGTATGTATACGTTAATAGATTTTCTTCAACTATTGGATATATACGAGGGGAAGAAAAAGAAAAAATCGTTTTCGGAGTCGTCATTTTCCCCCACAGCAGGATTCGAACTCTCTGGAAAACCAAGCCTCATCTTCGTCGTCCCTTTACATCTAAGTCGCTTTGCGTGAATGGCCGACCTCAAAGTCTGCGTTAAATTCCCGTGAAGAAGCTACCGTCGATTGGAGGTCTGTTGCTCGGAGTCGTTGCGACTATCGCCGGAGAACTTTCCGTGTTTCTTCTGAGGTTCTGATCGGTGAAGGTCTCCGGATCGAAAGTTCGTCACCTATGATATATGATTCGTAGTTTCTGATTTTGCTTACTCTCTGATTTTCTATTCTGGCTGCTAGTTCCTTGGAATTCTCTTGGTTAGGTAATGTGTCTTTTGAATGTTTAGATTGTAGTGATTTTGTAGGTTCTTGAATCGATGTTCGTTTGATCTATTAGGTTCGTTTCAGTTTCCGACAACACTATGAATGGAGAAGAAGGCAAATCTGTTGAGTTCGCTCTCTTTTAGATCCTTTGGATACGAAAGCGGCAATTAGCTTTAGCTTCTTCGCTAGAGATCCTTTCATCACACCGTGTGATGCTGTTTCGGAGAAATTAGGTGGAAATAGTAGCGTAGTTTGAATTCCTCATTCGCTTGGATAGAACTCCATTCCATTTTCGTAGCAAATAAATTAGTTAGAAATGAGGGATTAGTGTTTGAGCTTTAGGTTGGATGGGTAGCAAAGGAGATTGTTCAATATCTGCTTTGCCAGAGATTAGAAATTCCAGTCCGATAAATTTTCCGAATGGGTCTATGAATGATGATCAGAACTATGACACCCCTCAGCAAATGTGGTTCCTCGCATAGACAATGGCAGCAGGGATTTCATTTATTTGGATATTATGATTTCTGTAGCAAAATTTTTGAGGTTGTGACCAAAACCTAGACCTGAGATAGCCTTTGAGTCGGCAAAGGAGGTTGGACTTTTCGGGGATCCTTGGTTTCTGTTGGAGATGTTTTAGGTTCTGTCTCATGATCGAAAGCCAGATTGAATGCGAAACTGATGAAGAATTCAGGAGCTATGATCCAGAATAAGTTTATTTAGTATGTGGTTCCTTGAAATATGCTCTATTTCAAGCTATGAATTACTGGGATAACTCCTAGGTTAAAGTGGTCAATTTGTTCTCCTTTGTCAGTTAGCTGCTACCGTTTGTTTGGGCTTCATGACTGTTCCTCTTCAGTAACCCAGTCTTCTTAACTCCTCTACACTAGTAGGTTCCTTCTTCATCTAGCTCTCTACAGCAACCGATTATCATGACACCCTCTCCATTTGCTAGCTGAAGGATCTGCTTATCATTTTTTATGTGTGCTTCGTATTTTCCGATCTTACCTAGGATGGATGAAAAGGGGTTTCATTTATTCTTTCTTGAAGATGGCTGCCTGTTTGGTCGCTATTGCTGTAGTTCGTCTATCTCAGCTCCCTTGCACCTAACGAGTTTCTTAGGGGTTTGAAGCAAATCATTTGGTTAGACTCTTTGGGTGAGATTCATGCTTAGTATGCCAAGGTTGTCATCTTGATAGCAGAATACTCCTGGTAAAGGCATTCAATTGCTGTAATTTCTCTGATAGCTGGAATCCTGTTTAGATGAGAGAAACAGGTTAGCCTTACAGTTGGGGTTTAATAAATCAAGGGATGCTTTGTTAACTTTTGGTTTTGGAAAGGATCTTTTGGTAAGTTTGCTGAAGAAAACCGGTGCAGAGTTGCAATCTGGAGGTAGGACTGTCCTCTTTGGGCATCAACCCATCTCTTATACCCCAATTCCCCCCGTTTATGCGAGTGTCAAACAGAGTTTGATCGTGTTTGCCTTGCTTTACAATAGGTTGAGCGTCTATTATCTGGTCACGACTGGATAATTTCCCCAGACTTCAAGGATTCAAGTGCACATGCAATGTGTTAAGCTAATATTTCTCCATTGGAGGCTCCATCAACCATCAGTGCCATGTTTAGTTGTTAAACAGGATAAATGTTAATCTTCTTTGTTTGATCCTCTTGGTGTATGCTGATTGGAGCCATTCCATAACCGGATTATCATGCTGCTGATTTGGATTGGTCTGCAACAGTATAGAAGGAAGCAACAATGTCCTCAAGTGTTTGCCTGGCTTTTTCAGGTGACAGATGATATTTTGAAAAGCGAGAATATTTTCTAATTCTTTTCTTATTTTCAGGTATTATAAGCATACCACCAGTTGATGTTTTCTGCCAATACCATCAAAAGGCTCATTCTTAACGGGAGACGTAGTCTTCAAAGCTTCCACTCAGCAATCTCAGCAGCCTAACCTGCAGAAGCTTAAAATGGAGCCTAGAAGCCCATTCCATCAGCTGAAAAATGAAGAATCTCAGCCGTCAATGCTGAAAAAGGGAGCATCAGATAATGAGAGAAACGAAGCCCTTGATAGAGGATTAATGGAGCATGGGTAAATATTTCTCCCTTCCCGTTTCAATTTTCCAAGGATTGTTTGTATTTTATGTCTCTCCGATTAATGTCGCCTGATGGTTCTTGCAGATGTCCCCATTACCGAAGAAGGTGTCGTATAAGAGCTCCTTGCTGTAATGAGATCTTTGGTTGCCATCATTGCCATAATGAGGCTAAGGTAGATTTCACTTCTCCTCACGTTACTAACTTTAGGAAACTCATGTATGTTTCTTTGTCTGTGGAGCTGACTCTTTACTACGTCTTGGGGACAGAACAACATGAATGTCGATCAGAAACTGAGGCACGATATTCCTCGGCACCAAGTTAAACAGGTAAAGTAATTTGCAAATTTTGGTTGCTCCATACTTGTTATTATAAGATCATTAGGGTCTTGCTGACAACAGGAGTTGATTTTTGCGCAGGTTATTTGCATACTCTGTGGCACTGAACAGGAGGTGAGTACTAGACTTTTATGCATTTGCTGGACTTTTGGTTCTCTTTATGATCAGAGATGTAGTGCCATCAGTGAGGAGGCAGTGTGACCAAGTAACATGAAAAATGTTATCAAACCATTTTATTCCCTGTTTCTTTTCTTCATTTTAGAGTTTAAATTTGTTAAAACTGTTTTCTCCATCTTAATCAGGTTGGTCAATTCTGTGTCAACTGTGGAGTGTGTATGGGAAAGTACTTCTGCGAGGTTTGCAAACTCTTCGATGATGACGTAAGATTCATAAACATCAGTTTCCTGTGCCTTTTTGTTGTCACTGATATTTTTCTTTGTTCAACAATTCTTGTCTTAAGCTTTGCAGTCTTCGATATATTCCACTCATTTTTACGCTTATGTTGAATTTCTTGTTTGCAGACGTCTAAGAAGCAATACCACTGCAACGGTTGTGGTATTTGCAGGTATAGTCCTGCTCTTCGTTTTTTTAATTTTCAACGCATGTCAATGGAAGGAGTTTTCAATCAAGCATCTCTATACATGCATAAGTTTGGTTTACTTGTTCATCTGTAAATGCATTTAGTTTTTTTTAAAACTCGGTAGCAACTTCGTTGTGTTCCCAACTAAAATCTTACTTTTATGATTCTATTGTTTCAGAATTGGCGGACGTGAAAATTTCTTCCACTGTTACAAGTGTGGTAAGACCTCTCTCTGCTTCACTTAAACCCCGCCGTGAAAATTGAACATTACCATATATCGATCGATTCATAGAACCTAAACTCGCATTTGTTGACAATCAATCAGGCTGCTGCTTTTCGATCCTTCTCAAGAACAGCCACCCTTGTGTCGAAGGAGCAATGCATCACGACTGCCCCATTTGCTTTGAGGTATTTTTTTGTTCTGATTGTATTGTACTTCTCTACAGTTGACACGAACAAACTTTTTAAATACAGAATTTTTTTATAAATTTGTTCTTACAGTACCTGTTCGAATCAAGGAAGGATGTGACGGTCTTGCCTTGCGGACACACGATCCATCAGAAATGCTTGGAGGAAATGCGAGAGCATTATCAGTGAGTCAAAATTGTGATTACTTTCCTATTTTTAGTTTTGCTTTCTACGATTTCTTTTTCTTACTGATCCTATAATTACCGGTGCTTGTGCAGATACGCATGCCCGCTCTGCTCGAAATCAGTATGCGACATGTCAAAGGTGTGGGAGAAGTTTGACATGGAGATTGCAGCAACCCCGATGCCAGAGCCCTATCAAAACAAAATGGTTAGTGGTTATACTCATTCAAATTCCATCGGTGGAGTTCTTATAGAAACATCGGTTATAGTCTTATTACACTTTTTAACGAATTATGGATGATCATAAACTTATTTCCTCATTTGGTGTGACAGGTTCGGATTCTATGCAACGACTGCGGGAAGAAATCGCAAGTGCAATACCATGTGGTGGCTCAGAAGTGCCCTAACTGCAAATCATACAACACACGCCAAACCAGAGGCTAAAAAAAGTAAAGTTGAGTGAGTGTGCATCCTTTCAAATCAATTGCTCTTGTTTTGCTATAATGCAACCTGATGAGCTTCTATGGTGGTACCAAAGTCGGCTATAATCCTGGAAGCTCCCTCGGGATGTTTCTCGGGTCGGGTGATGTCAATGTCGTCTCTCTCTTTTCTGCATCGGGTCGGGTTTTTTCTTTCTTTCTTTCTTTCGTTTCCTTCTACTCCGATATTAGCCTCTATGTTCATGAATTGTGGTTGGGAATGTGTGTTTGGGATTCAATCTGGATCTTTGCAAGAGTTATCCTGTTTGTTCATGAGATACTGTTTTTTTACGTTTGGTTTCTTCCGCCGCTCCATCATCTTCTGTTTTTCTCCTGTGTGTTTTTTTGTTACAACTTGGTTGTGTCTACAAAATATTGAATCACGTTTTCTTTTACATCTAAATATGTCCATTAGTTATTATTATTATTATTATTATTATTATTATTATTATTATTATTATTATTATTATTTTAAGAATATTTAGGCTCTGGAGAATCATAACTTATTTTTAGTGTATTGAAATGAAAATGGCGTTGCTGCATACTTTTTATTTTCAAACACTGGTGGTTGGGGCATGAGATAGTTTTCTTGGATTCCTATGGTTTAGGCAGAAACCTAGATATGTGATGCACTTGTCAGATTTCGCAGAAATTTTGATACGGGGATATAGTAAATTCAAGGTCATTTTTATTTATTATAAAATTAGAAAAAAAAACTAATTGTAAAAATAAGAGCTGGAGAAATGAAAATAAAACAATGAGTTAAAAAAAGTAGAAAACTTAAATAATTAGAAATCTAAATGAACATAGAAAATGATAAATATATACCGCATACATAAGATAGTACTTATATATGGAAATCGAATAAGGAAAGACGGAAAAAAGAGGATATAAAGGAATGATTTAAAAAAGTTGAAAAAGAAATCAGAGAAATGTAAATTTAATTAATAAAAGAAATAATTTTAAAAATAGTAATATGTTATAAAATACCAAACTATAAATTAGAGAATGATGAAAAAAAGTAAAATGAATATTTGCAACTTCGATGGTTTGCCTTTTTTTGGTTTAACTAAAACACCTTTAAACAATAAAATCTTAATTGTTTACACTTTGATCTTCCACGATTATGAGTAGGAATTGCGTAATGCTTGCTGGATTGTTTTGTTTGTATTTACTTTTTTTCCCCAATTTTTTTAGAAAACATATAAATTGAAATTTTCATTTGTTTTGTAATTTGTTTCTTTTCTGTTGTTTGTAAAATGGCCGCATGATCTAATGCGACGTCGTCTTGGACCTTTCACGACTCAATAATCGAATTGTAAAACCTATGATTATAGTCATATAAAACTCCACAATAATAATAATAATAATAATAGAGAGGAATAGACAAAATAAATGTATAAACCGGGTGAGCCGTTTCATGGCTCCTACCCATTTCTCACCACCTTTATAATATATCTCAATTGTTTATAAATATAATCAAATAAAAAATATTGAAGTAGTAACTTAAGCACCGGAAAGGAAATGTGTTTTTTCTCCCTTTTACGAGCCCCCAAAATACCCACCCGGAAAAGAACCAATCAATGGCCACGATCTCGTCCCACAATATTTCTCCGGGCCTTCAAATATCAACGGGTCATTCGGTTTTCACGAAATGTAAAAGATAAAGCCCCTCTCCTTCCGTAGCTGTCTCTCTCTCTATCCCCACGAGAGAGATTTTTTCTCCGACGCTCCCGGAAAATTTTGTCGAATTGTTGGAGGGAGAGGAAAAAATCCATGGATTTTCATAGTATCAGGCTCCGATTGGCGTCTGTCTTCCTGCTTCTAGGGTTTGTATCGTGCTTTAGCTTGCAGGTAGCTTCATACTTTGTTTTTGGTTCGTTGTTTGCCATTTTTCCCCCCTGGGTTTGATTCGTTTGAGATGATCGAACATTATGATGGATGTTCGTGATACGCTCAGTTCGATATATGATTCACCGGGTTTGATTTGTTTTTACGGGGTTTTTTTTTTGGGGGGGGGGGGGTGAGGATAGAAACTGAGCAATATACAAAATTCGATCATCCATGGCCGCCAACTATAAGAAAGCAAAAAAGAAACGGCAGCTCTTTTTGATGAACGGATGATCTCTTCGCTTAAAGCTTCTACCTTTGAGCTCCTCAGATCATGGAAAAAAAAAATTAAAATGGTGGGGTTAATGATGATGTGAAAAGAAAAAAAAAATTGAACTCAAAAAGGGTGTTTCTCCTCCTTCTCAGACAGGTTTCTTGCGAGCCTTGTCTGAAACAACAGACTTTGCTGATAAAGCGGCTTCATCCGTTTTCTCGTCCGCAATAATTCCCTTTGAACGACACTCGTCGCTGCAAAATGCTATGTATCCTCTGCATAGTTTCAAAATCCGAACAAAGAATATCCACGTCAATGGATTCAATTCAAATCCAGCACATGAACATTAGTGCAACTGTTTCGATCGACTGCATGTTTCGTTAAAACCGGACAACACGGTAAGCTCTTCCTTCATTCCGGCCCGAAGCAAGTTTCATTTTCTTAAAATCAGTATTCTTTACTTGATATCGATTCCTTGACAGCGATGACGAACGGTGATTTGGAGGCTATTGCATTGTTCAGTAATTTATCTACTGTTAGTTTAGATCTATCTTAGCATAGGACATAGACTACAATGTTCTAAACAGCAGTTACATAATGCATTGCGAAATACCGAAAGTTAGGGTCCTCTCTGTCTAAGACACACCCTAAGAATTTTGAAAAGCCAAAACCTTTTTTTTTCTCTAAGTGAACAAGGTTGAGAGAGAAGAGAGTACCTGTACATGTATATGTCCTCTCCCTGCAAGTGCTTGTTACAGAAGTTGCAGAAGCTCAAGAAGTTTTCAGGGGGGAATCCATCAGCTGGTTGTGTTAAAGGCATGGAAACAGTTGTGAGATCCTTTTGTTCCTTGAAGCTACTAAACCCTTTGTTCAAACCATGGTTATCTAGAGATTCTAGAATCCGATCCCCGTAAAAATGAGTGGTTTTGGGGTTAGGGCCATGGGAAATGACACGAGTATAATCCTCTGAGAGCTCAATCTCGCTTTCTGAATCCGGGTCCATATTCCCACTAAGACATTCCAAGCTTGGCTTCAGAGGAAAGCCATTCAAAGCTGGAGGGTGTGCAAGGATATGAGCTTTGCCCACACCAGTGTCTCCAGAACTCGAACTGGTTCTTTGACTAGAAGAGCCCATTGCTCCATAAGAACTCAATGAGCAAAAGGGGTCCTGCTTGATCGTTGAATTATCTCCATTCTCAAATCCAGTACCGAGTTCATTGTCCTTAGCTGGGGGCTTGGAAAGTGATTGAGGGAAAACAGGGTAATCTTTAAGGGTATGATCCAATTCACAGACCTTTGGAGCATTGTAAATGAGATTCCCAAACTTCATTCCAATGCCAAAGAGAACGTTCTTGCTCTCAGATGATTGTAGAACATTCCCTGATGCATCATCAAGAGAATCCACGATACTCAAGCCTACTTTAGTAGAATCCCAACTCTTTTGGTGAACCTGATGGACCGACTTTGAAGATCCAGCAAATGGGTTCCTCAAACCGGAAAACAACCTGAAATCCAGAGGAGATGTGGGGCTCCAAACTGAATCATTTTCGGATGAACCCTTGTTGCTGAAAGCAACAAAGAGGCTAGGGATACTGAAAATTGAACCATTCCTCTGGTTTTTAAGCCTTGAAGATTCGGATTGTCCCGGACATGAATCAGAATCAGACACCATTAGATGCTTCTGGTGAGACCTGTTCCTCTTCCTCAGCATTATCTGAGTCAAATCAAATCAAATGTAAGCTGAATCATTGATCCAAGGACCGGAACCAACCAGAATCGGTGAAAAGATGCTAAACAGGTAAATCACCACACCAGATGCAGCATTGATCAAAGGAAACAGTGTATGACCCCATCTAAATTCCACATAGAGACGCAAACATGTGTGAACACATGTACCAGTTTGTGAAATATGCATTGAGAGGCCAGGAAAAAAACGCTACTGGGTATGATCTGCTCATCAAAAGAAAACCAATAAATTTACTTACCGATTGAACGATCAAAGGGCTTTTGGGAAATGGCTTATCAATTTCAGAATATCCGGAAGATTCAGACTCTCAATGCCTTAAGCGTCGATATTCTGTAGAATACACGAGAAAACGATAAGAACCAAATGAACAAAGAAACAGTATCTGAATTCATAAGCAGGCAGGTCATTCCAAACAGCAAATGCCCAGATGAGAAAATCGAAAAGGGAGGTCAAAGAAATTCTCAGAGCAAAGAAATCACCCGATAGAGAACATGCGAATATACAAGAGTGTTTGATTTTGCAGAGAAGATACGATCCTCGAAGAAAATATCGAAACAGATTGCTTAGCTTGGAATGAACACAAACCCATAGACAAAAAAATTCAAAACAAAAAACTCAGCACACTTGAAGATTCTATTGCAAGCTGAAATCTAGAAAATTTCTCGAGGAAACGGAAGATCGAGAAGAACCCAGGACGTAAAATTCAGACAGGAAACAGAAATTTTGAACTGGAAATCTCACCTCGTCGCCTTCTTCGCTTCCTCTGGAAAAATTTCACGGGCTCTTGAAGAACTCAGAAATGGCAGAGAAATAGCACAATGCAAGTCTTCATCTATCACTGTGCAAGTCTTGTGAGGCACTCCTCTCTCCACCTCAAAATCAGCGCACCAGTGAGCTTCTCTCTCTCTCTCTCTCTCTCTCTCTCTCTCTCTCTCTGGAATTCACGCTTGGCACTCTCTCAGAAATGTCCGTACGGCGGTATATATAGCCAAATAGAAAAAGGTTACCTTTTTTATATACTTTTTAGCTCTTCTATTTGAATCCACCAACTTTTGTAAGTCACTATTTAACCCCCCCCCCCCCTCCCCG